ATTTTTTTTTTTTTTTGGTTTAGATGGGGTCTTGCTATGTAGTCCAGGCTGGTGTCAAACTCAGGGTGACGCTCCTGCCTCAGCCTCACAAGAGCTGGGATTACAGGCGAGTCCACCTGCCTAGCCAGCAGCTACAGTCGCTACTACGTGCTCACTCGAGAACTGCGGCTGTCCCTCCCAGAGGCCCACTGGATGGGGTAGCTCAGGTCTCATGCCCGGTCTGCTGAGGCTTAGTGACGCATTTGTCCCCAGACATCCAGGGAGAAGCTGATGGACCATTACCTGGGGCACAGCCCTGAAGACCCGGCGCTGGAAGCCACTTACGTGGGGTAAGAGCTGAGGAGCCGCGGCGCTGGTGGGCGGGCACGGAAGAGCCTGGGTTGGGGCCCTAGATCCGCCTGCAGTGGGCGGCTGTGCCTGGCTTTGGCCGGGAGCAGGTGAGACTGAGGCCACCATGTCACCCAGTGCTGCCACTCCCCAGGCCATTTCCTTGATGTACACTCAGGAGCCTCAGCGCTCTCAGCGCCCGGACGTGTCTGGAGTGGTACAGACACGTAGGTAAATTCAGGGCGGCTCACAGGGCCTGGGTTCACTGCGGTTGTGAGAATTCATTGTATCAGCCCTGAGAAACACACCAGTTCCCCTCCCTGTTCTGTCCTGCTTTCCATTAACAGTTGAGTCCACTTGGTTCTTTTGCTGCTCTCTTTTTGCATTATAACAACCCTTGCCAGGCCTGGGATATAGCTCAATGGCCCTGCGCCTGCCTGGCAAGTACAAGGTCCTAAATTTGATCTCCAGTACTGGAAAGAAAAAGAAACCTTGCTCTGTTGGGGGACATGCAACACCCAGCACTGGGGTGGCTGAGGCAGGAGGGTCTCTTAGAGTTTGAGGCCAGCCCAGTCTCCATAGTGAGACCCTATCTCAGAAAAAGGCAGGATGGCCCTAGCGCTCTGTGCACCTCACTGTCCTCGGCACCTCACTGTCCCCGTGTACCTTGGCTCACACAGTACCACAGCAGAGGCCCCACCCCGGGAGCTATGGTCTAGAGAGAGGAGGATCACACAGCACCTGCTTGCTCCCCTCCGACTGCTCCTTCCAGTAGAGAGAAGGAGCCACATTCGCACTGTGATGGGGCTTCACATTGTCCCCCAGCTGATGTTGCTTCGCCTTTCCCCATCACAGTTGGCCACAGACAGGAGGTGGCCGACACCTGCGCTGTGGGTCCCCTGCACCGCCGGGCGGGGTGCTGCCTGCCTGCCAACAGGTGCTTACTCCCCAGGCCGCACTGCAGAGGGCACTAGCCCACAGGAGGCAGAGTGGCGGAGAGGTTCGCCCAGGGCCATGCCGCTTGGTTGTAGGTGTGGAGCACTGAGAAAGTGGGGGCTCTCGGAACCTCACGGAAGCAGTGAGCGGCGTTCACCTGAGCCACACAGCTCTTTCTACTGCAGAGGCCTGTGGAGCCTCTAGAGCAGCGGGGTCTCCCCATCAAGTGGAACATGAGGCAGGAGACACAGAGCAAATGGCTGTCTCATGACGTTCCGTTCTCTGAGGACTGCACGGCTCGGTAGCATAGGCTCCAGTGTGGAATGTGGTGAGCATCTGGAGAAGAAGCGTGTCACTCTCTGGTCACCGCCGGGACAAGCGGCCAGTGCTGTCCCTGCTGCTGGGCTTGCCTGGCACCCGAATGCAGGAAGTGAAGACGTTGGGAGACTTGGGACTGAGTGTGGCGGTGCTCATGTGTAGTGCAAGCCATTCAGGAGGCTGAGGCAGGACGATTGCAAGTTGAAACCCAGCCTGGGCAGCTCAGTGAGACTGTTTGGTAGAGCTCCTGCCTAGCATGCACAAGGCCCCAGGTTTAGTCATTAGTGTGTGCCACTAAAGAGAGGATTGGGGATTTTCTTTTTTTTTTTTTGTACCAGGGATCAAACTCAGGCCCTTATACTTGCGAGGCGGGCGGTGGCCCCACTGAGCTAAATCCGTGGCCCAAAGATTGCAGACTTTTAAATGCAGAATGTGCTGCAGTCTTTGTTGAACAAGTTTGCCAACTGAGCTCTCTATGGTGGAGAATATGAAACTCATCACACGGAAGGGCACCCATGTCCCAGTGGGCCCTTGGCTCACTCCGCACTGTCTCCTCTGTTAAAGCTTTTGTGGGTCACTGTTCCAGGTGTCCCTGTACTCCCAGACTGAAAGTTGGGCCGCTAGGGGGAGCCCTGACTAACAGCAGCAGTTACAGATCAGCTGCGCACCAGGTCTGGCTGTCTGCATTGGGTTCTTTCTTTTCCACCCACCCTGCACCTGTCCGGCCCGCCTGCACACTCACTGGGAATGAGTTCGTGCTGCCCCTGGCCACACCGACTTCTCTGAGCTTCCGCATGCTCGTGCCAGAGCTACTGTGAGGGCCACAGGGTGTCCAGGCTGGGCACCCCAGTGCTGTCCCTCCCCTAGGCGGTCCGACTACATCTCTCCCCTGGACGACCTGGCCTTTGACATGTACCAGGACCCCGAGGTGGCGCAGATCATCCGCAGACTGGACGAGCGGAAGCGGGAAGCTGTGCAGAGGGAGCGCTACGATCATGCCAAGAAACTGAAGCAGGCCATCGCAGACCTGCAGAAGGTCTGGCTCCCGACAGCCACTCCCTGGGGTGGCGGGCTGGGGCTGTGTGCAACTGGGTCCCGGCTCCATTCCCAGGGATGGAGAGTTGGGGATAATGAACCATGAGGGGCCTGGCCTGCCTGTGCTGGTACAGCACAGCATGGTGTGATGTGGCTGGCACAGGGCTGTGTCATCTCTGCCCCGAGAGCTTGCACGGGCACGTGCGAGCCAGAGCCACACTCCTGTGCCGCAGGTCGGTGAGCGCCTCGGGCGTTACGAGGTGGAGAAGCGCTGCGCGGTGGAGAAGGAGGACTACGACCTGGCCAAGGAGAAGAAGCAGCAGATGGCGCACTACCGGGCCCAGGTGTACGAGCAGCTGGCCCTGCACGGCCTCCTGCAGGGCGAGCTGGAGGTCAGGGCAGCCGTGGGTGAGGGGTGTCTGGCTGCGGGAATGGTGGAACCAGGCCCTGTGCCCCAGGCAGCTGGCAGGCTCTGCCCTGCTGTGATGGGGTGGCTCCGGCCTCATGGTAGAGAAGGAAGAAGGGCCTGCAGTGCAGAGGGGCCTCCTCAGGGGAGACGCCCAGCCCCACTGCCTAGCCATGGGTCTCAGACAGTGTAGACAGGAAGGCGTGCTGTTCTCAAGCCCCAGGAGAGTCACCTGGGCCCAGGCACCACACCAGGGCTCGGTGACCACCGGAGGTTCTGTCCACGAAGGCGGCAAGGACCACTTGGCCATAGACAGGAGCAGCACCACTGCTGACTGCAGGCCTGCCGGGTCCATTCTGGCCCTCATCACTGGCCCCCGGGCATGCGCTGTGGACAGCTGTGGGCACAGACGCTGAGCGGTCATCTTGCGGGGTAAGGTGCTGGCCCCACATAGCCAGGGTGCTCAGGGGCACTGTCCCTTCCCTCCTGCAGGTGCAGAGGCCACTCAATCTGCCCCTCCAGCCCCTTGCCCATGCCAACAGCCCTCGCTGCCGAAAGCCCGAGCCCTCACTCCCCCTGCCACAAGAGATGTATCCAGAAAGCCAGCCCGCAGACCCTCTCGTCCAGGAGCAGCCTGCGTCACCTGTTCTGACTCCTCCACGGCGCTCGGCAGCAGACCAACCACCGCCTGTCCTGGGCCCCGGCCCACAGAGCGCAGTAGGTAGCCCTGTGTCTGCACGTGTGGCGGGTACTTCTTGGGGTCCTGTGCTGTGCCAGGTACCAAGTCCCATGTGGCCAGGGCAGCGACACAAACACCACGCAAATTAGGCCCCTGTCACTTATGCCTCTGCCCCCAGGGTAGTTCTCCCCATCCTTCTGCCTTCTGAGCCCGTTTTCCTCCATAGACGCACAAACATTTGCTTGATGCTTTGTTCCAAGCATCAGAGAGCATCATACACACTGACAGGTGACCAGGCGCAGAATCACTGGGTGCAGGCTGACAGGCTTGGGGGCCATCAGCACTTCCTGTGTCGCACGCACAGGAAGCTGTATCCACAGGGCTCACTGGCTCCCTCCCTGGACCAGTAAGAGGTGGCTGGGTTCAGAGTCCATTTGGTCAGTAGCTCAGTGGTGTCATGAGAAACCTGGGTCCTCCCCTGCGTTTGACTGTTTTCCTGGGGCCTGGAATGTTGGGTTGGTGATTATTGTGGTGACACCTGAGGAGGGGGACGTCCCATTGTAGGCCAGAGTCCTCAGGTTCCCCCTCGATCAGCCTCACGCACGTGCACACTGAGCCTCTGGGTGACAGCTGGGATGGAGGAGGGACAGATACTGCCGGCAGCCCCAGTGTACTGCACAGGAGGGAGGAAGGACAGATGGCCTGTGGGGCCCCATCCACCAGTGCTCACCTGCATCCCCTGTAGACTCATCTGTGTCCCACCATCACATGGACATGCTCTGTACTTGGCCAGTCCCAGCCTCTCAGTTTCACACCCAAGTGAGCTGTAGAGTGTGAAAAACTTACTGGCACATGCAGTGCACACTCACCTGCAGCCCTGCCACACTGAGCATGGGTGGTCACCGTGCCTTCTTCAGAAAACAAACTAGGGTAGAAACAAAACAGGAAGACCCTGTTTCTTCTCCAGCTCCCAGAATCCCACCGCATACTACACTGGCGGCTTTGCTGTGCGCCTCAGCTCCAGGCCAGTGCTCAGCAAGCGGGTGGGCCAGCAGGCGGGAAGACAGTTTACTGCAGCTTCAGCTCAGTCAAGGGCCACCAAATAGCAGTAGTGACTTGTTTACTACCGTGGGGTTCGGTCCTGACATCAGAGCAGCAAACTAAGCAAACACCAGTGATGGGTGACGATCGGAGGGGACATGAGGCGGCCTTCACTTCCTAACCCCTGGAGCCCTCGGGAAGGCCCTCACTGGTAGACAGCTGAGCTGGGCAGGCGCTCTGCTACTGGGTCTGGAGGAGTGTGGCAAGGGCCAGAAGGCCTCACCTGGCTTCTCACCTCTATGGCATTCCACACATTGTCCCAGTGCGACGATGCCAGGGATTGGCAGTGTGCCCTCCCCCGCCCCTGCAGTCTGTCCCCCGAGAGCCCACAGCCGCACCAGGTGGCATGGGCAGGTGGGGTACGCTGGCCCTGCCACAGTGCTCCCTCCCTCCCGCCCTCAGGTGGAGGCCCTGCCCTATGACGAGCGGCCACTTCCCGCCACCCGCCAGCAGCCCCAACCCAGGGACGGGGATGCATGGGCAGAGCCAGAAGTGAGCGAGGCCCAGGCCAGCGCTGCCCGGAGAGGAGGCCTAGCTGGGGAGCCAGAGCCCTTGACAGAGAAGGCTCTGCGAGAGGCCAGCGCTGCCATCGACGCCTTAGGAGAGGCCTTGGTGAGGAGGAGGCCCAGACACATGCACGCAAGAGGAAGGAGCAACACTTAAGTCCCCTCGGGAAGCCCTTGATGTGCATTACTAACCTGAGCTGGTGAATCAAGCGAGGCTCTACCCATCAGACCTGGAGTCTGCACTGAGGCCCTGCCTGTGGGGAGCACCACCAGGGGGCGGGGGACAGGAGGATCGCTGTGAGTTTGAGACCAGCCTGGGCTGTGTAGCGAGTTCAAGGCCGGCTGGAACCACATAGGGAGACCCTGCCTCAAAAAAGAGAAATCCCTGCAAGTTGTGCAGCCGGGATGGCCCGCGCTGCCTCCCTGACTAAAGCCACCTCCTGTCCTGGCCAGGTCGCAGGGGCCTATTCCAGGACCTGGTCCTACCGTGAGGACGCGCTGCTCATGCTCTACAAAAAGCTAACGGATATGCCCACCGGAACCCCGAGGGAGGGTGCTAAGAACGCATTCAGGGCGGCTGTGTCCCTCGTCTGCAGAGCCATCAAGGATCCCGTGACCTCGGTGGGTCCTCAGCCTGCCAGCCAGGCCCCTACCACTCCACGGCACCCAGAGCTGCTGGGGGACATCCACTGTGCGGCGTGGCTGCCGGCCGGGTGACGGGAAGTGAAGAGCCGGAGCCACCTGTGCTTGTCACCTCCCTCCACACACACACACCATTGTCCCTACCCTACACGGTGAGCAGTGGCCTCATTCATGCCACCCCCGCTCTGTGCAGGGGTTTGCTCCCTATGGGCCTGAGGATCCCGGGAGTCACAGCTGCAGTTTTCTAACACTGAGCTTTTCGACACAGATCTCCTAGCAGAGGCACCATGCTTAGGTCACAGTTCTCAACTTGCCTCTTTAGCCCGTCCAACAAGTTGCATTTTCTGTGTGTGTGTGTGTGTGTGTGTGTGTGTATACCAGGAGTGGAACTCAGGGCTTTGTGCATGCCAGGCAGGTGCAGTGCCCCTGAGCTAAATCCCCAGCCCTGTCATTTTTCAACATAATGTTCATACTTGTTACCGGTAGTGACTTTCATATTTGCTCTGGGTGAAATCCAGTTTTTGTAGTTCTTCTGTTTTCTCTCCTTTTCTTAGGTCTTTCAGGCTTCTCTGAAGCTGTTGAAAGTGCTCATCACCCAGTACGTACCCAAACACAAGCTGGGCAGACCGGAAATCGCACACTGCGTGGAAAGGACCATGCCCGCCCTGCTCGCCAGAACAGGGGACTCCTGCGCCCGTCTCCGTGTTGCGGCCTCCAACTTCATTCAGGTCTGTGCCCCGGCAGCCTCCACAGCGCCTCATTCCAGGACGCTCACCCCCTCAGCAGCACCCGAGATTCTGCCCTACCCAGGGACTCTGACCCCGGTGCCCAGTTCCTTCCACTGCTTCCCACACCCAGCATATCCTAGCGAGTAGAAATACATGCAGAGCTATGTCAGAGGAGAAAGCCTGGGGTAAAGGAGAATGTATAACCTGCCTGGTCTAGGTATTTCCATTCTTTCACCAGACGTGCCTAGCGTAGGCCAGGAAACTGAGCAAGGTGTGAATGGATATAAGCTTTCTTGCACACGGTAGCATGAAAATGTATTTTGTTCTCGTTAAATTAGCTGTTGAGGGCTGGGGCTTTAGCTCAGTGGCTCCGGCGCCTGCCTTGCATGAGGGAGGACCTGAGTTAGATCCCCAGTACCAAAAAAAAAAAAAAAATAGCTAATGAATTCATCTAGTTTAGGGGTTTTCTTTTGTGAGGCTGGGTTTGAACCCAGGGCCTTTCCCATAGCAGGCAAGTGTTCTGCCACTGAGCTACATCCCCAGCCCTTTTTATTTTATTTTGAGACTGGCTCTTGGTATGTTTCCCAAGCTGGCCTTGAAATTGTAATCCTCCTGCCTCAGCCTCCCCAGTAGCTGGAATAACAGGCTAGTTCCTGTACCCCACCCAGCTAGGTTCAGTAGCCCCTAACACTCCACATTTTGGCTTCCACAAATTCCATAACCACCTTACAGTTTCTTGCAAAATCTTTTGAGTGTGCATATGTGTCTTTGAAGGAATCCAACACTCATTGTTTCTCAGAGGGTTGGATTGTGCAAACCCAGAAGAACAGTCTAGTTTTCTTTTAAGAAACATAAATTTCAAGGCTGGGCATAGTGGCTCACACCTGTAATCCCAGCAGGATTGCTGTGAGTTCAAGACCAGCCTGGGCTACATAATGAGTTCCAGGTCAGTCTCCACTACATAGTGAGACCCTGTCAAAAAAAAGAAAGAAACTTAAATTTGAGGCCAGAGATTTAGCTCAGTGGCACTGCACCCACCTTGCAAGCCCAAGGTCCTGAGTTCAGTCCCACTACTGCAAAAAAAAAAAAAGGATTTCTCCCTGTATTACAGCTTAAATATTGTATCATCTTTTTCTGTACCTGACTGATGTTTTATAGAAAGGCGTGTTTGGAGACGTTAAAATACATAATGATACTTATCCTACTAGTAATCATATTAATTGAAGAGATATACTTGTCACACTTAAAGAGAGAGAATGTGTTACTGGGGTTGGACCCCAGGAGCTCTGCTCCATACTCAGCTCTTTTTGGAGGGAGTCAGGTCTTGCTCCTGTGACCCAGGAGGGTGCAGGCGTGTGCCGCCATGCCCTACCACTGTTATTCTTAATTGACATTAAAAACTAAGACAACACAAATGAATTTTCAGCTGCAAAACCAATTTCTTTTTGACTTTTGGAAATCAGAAAACCTTTCCCTTGAGATTGAGGGACACTGGGAACAGAAACCTTTAAATTCAGCTATGTTTTCTCTGATGCTTTCATTAATCACTGCATGGTCATGCATTTATATCTTATACTTCAAGCTTTTCTTTCTAAATGTTACTAGTCTTTAAATGGAAATATGAGGCAGGTGTGGTGCAGGCCTATAATCCCAGTACTCAGGAGGCTGAAGCAGGAGGATTGCCAGGTGAGTTCAAGGCCAGCCAGAGCTACATAGTGAGACCTTGTCTCAAAAAAAACAAATAGATGTGGTGTGCATCTATAATCTCAGCACTTAGGATGCTGAGGCAGGATGATCACAAGGTGTTCAAGACCAGCCTAGGGTACATACACAGTGAGTTCAAGTCTGGCCTGAACCACATAGGGAGACCCTGTCTCAAAAAACCAGGAAAAGGGCCAGGGATGTAGTTCAGTGGCACTGCGCTGCCTGGCAAGCACCAAGTCCTGAGTTCCATCCCCAGTACTGGAGAGGGAAAAAAAAATGAAAAAACTTTGTTCTCAAGCATCAAATCATTTTACTGTAATTAGCAGCTGTCATTTATTCCATTTCCCTCTGGTGTTTCCTCTATCGTGGTGCATTGCCGTGGAGACTGACAGTGTGTGTTGCCTTGCACAGGAGATGGCGCTGTGCGAGGAGGTCCGGGCGCTGCAGATGGTCCCATCCTACTTGGTGCAGCCGCTGAAGCCCAACTGCTCGGCCCGCCTGGCCATGAGTCAGATGGACCTCCTGGCACGGCTGCTGCGAGACCTGGGCACTGCGGGCACCGGCTTCAACGTGGACAGCGTGATGAGGGTATGGGCCTTGGTGCAGGGTGCGTCCACAGGTCTGGGGAATCACCTGCCAGATCTGATGCAGTGTGCAAACTGCACATGCTCTATGGGGAGAACTTCATTGTGTGATCTGGTGACAAGATGACACCCTCCCAACTCTGTCCCCAGTTCACTGTGAGCGCCCTGGAACACAGGGTGTACAAGGTCCGGGAGACGGCAGTCAAGGTCATCCTGGACATGTACGCACAGCACCAGGCCCTGGTCCTTGAGTTCCTCCCTCCAGATGACAGCAGCTCACGCAGGAATCTCCTCTACAAGACCATCTTTGAGGGGTTTGCCCGCATAGATGGCAGGCCCACCCATGCCCAGACCAGGGTAAGCAGCCTCATGAGCCAGGTGAGGCCTGGGCTTGAGAGTTCTTGGTGCACAACAGGCAGCAGGCACACTGGGGGCCCCACTGGGGAAGCCCCGGCCCACAGGCCCTGGTCAGACTCCAGCCCTCCACTTCTGGCCCAGGCCTCACTCCCACTGTGACAGCAGCGATTGAAGTTCTTTCTATCATTTAATGTGTATTAAATTCACCTGAAAAATATACTTTAGTCCTGGTTATATTCAGCTCAGTGAATAGAACAGTAAGGAATATTTTCATGTGATAATTTGCCCCTACCATGTCTAAGGCTACCCCAAAAAGCTATTCTGATGGAAAAATGACTTTTTTTTTTTTTTAACCAGGCACAGAAAAAAGCAGCTACAGAAGAAGCAGAAAAACGAAAAAAAGAAGAAATCAAAGTTCTGCAAGGGCAGCTGGCAGCTCTGAAAGAAATACAGGCGGAGACTGAGGTGGGGAGGCCACTGCGCCCTTCAGTGCCACTGTCCCTTCTACAGCCTTTGTTACACAGATGCACAGGCACTGCCTTCCCGGGGTCCTGCCATGGCATCTTTATCTTGGGCGCCTTTAAAGTCATTACTGGCCGTCAGCACCCAGCCCTCTGCTGCGATGAAGACGGAACAGCTGCTCCCCTCACATCCCTCACCTGCTTGGAGGACAGGCAGGCAGTGTCCCAGGGACGCAGGGGTGCACTCTGCCACGGGCTTAGCTCGTCACCACAGATCCCGTCCCACCTGCACCTGGGATTGAGTTCAGTGGCTCAGGCATTTGCTCTATGTAAAGTTCCTGAAGGGGAGAGGAATCCCTTGTACCAGGCACAGGCAGGGGAACCAGAAGTGGATGCTCAGGTTGCAGAGTTCTGCTGTGGGAGGCACATGTGCCTGTGAGCCTGTCCACTGCGCTGTGTCACCTCACGGGGCAGGACGCAGGGATGCAGAGCTAAGGCCACAGCAGTGTCCCCACCAGAGGGCAGAATTTGAGAGTCCCCAGGAGAAAAGCAGGACACCAGGAAGAAGAGGCTGGTGGCGGCCTCACCTCCAGCCCAGCTGCTCACAGCAGACCCCAAGGGCACACTAAGGGGCCACAGCTCAGTCTGGTCCTGACGGTTCACAAAGGACATGAGGGTGAAACCCAGCGGGGTCACACAGGTCACTGACCCCCACACTCGGGACACCAGCTGCTGTCGCCAGGACAGTATCCCGCCCCTGTGCTCCAGGCCTGGTGGTCGGGTGTGGCCGGCTTCTGGGGAGTGGGGGTCTGAGCCCCGGGGAAGGGGGAGAACAGCTGAGCGTCCCGCCACTCTGAACAGAGACCTTGAAGGAAAGCTGGAAATACTTTTACGGCCAGGCACACTGGCCTGCTATGCTGTCCCTGACCTGCCTGTTTCTGTCTTAGGAAAAAGAGAGCAATGCTGAGAAGCCCAGGAAGCAGGGTAGGTCCCCTGAGCCCCCACCGTGTATACCAAACACTGCCACCTTCAAGCGCACAGCACTGGACAGACCGTCACTAAACGTGGAAGCGTTTCTGCAGCAATTACTGAGGCTGTTCCCTCTCCTCTCCAGACAGCCCCAGCAGGAAGGCAGCCCCAACGGACACCCCGGAAGTCCCAGGCAGCCACTACCTGGACAAGTGAGTCAGGCTGCGTGCAGGGACCCTGGGCAGGAGTGACCCCGACTCACCATGACCAGTGACGAGCAGGCCGTGCCACAGCACCAGGCTGAGGGTCACCACCTTTGCCCCTTAGCGGGTCCCCATTTGTCAGAAGCCCCGGGGAGCAGATGGCTCCTCCCCAGGCCCAGGCTCACCCGCAGGGGTGTAGCAGGGGCATAAAAGAGACAGCCTATCTCCCCCAGTGCCTAAACTGCCTCATGCACTTAGTAGCCTGGCAGAGGTCTGAGCCCATCATCTGTCACTGCTCTGGCCGCCCAGGACCCCACGCCCTGCAGCCAAGGCCACTCAGGGCGAGGGTGGAGGGGTAGGAGCCACAGCCCCTGCTTCTCTGCAGCCTGTGCATCTTCTGCGGGGAGCGGAGCGCGGCTTTCACGGAGGAGGGGCTGGACCTGCACTACTGGAAGCACTGCCTCATGCTAACACGCTGCAGCCACTGCAGGCAGGTCAGGCCCACAGCCGCGGTGCCCACTCTGGGGTTTCGGGTGGCATAGGAGGCGTACGGAGAAGTCACAGGCCACTCGGTGTGCCACCAGCCCAGGGATAGTCCCTGGGCCACTCTTCCCTGACTCTGACGCCACTTGCTGCTGTGCATGAGCCACCACATGCTGTGTGTGGTCCCTCATGTCCACGGGTTTCTGCCCATCTGACCGGGGTCTGAGGGACACGCTGTGCTGTGCTCCTGAGCGCATGCAGCCCAGGCTTGCTGTCAATGTGTCACCTGGCTGCCAGGATCGGGCTGAGGGGCGCTGTCATGGGATGGAGCCAGCTGACATCCTGGGGGTGGAGGCGCCATGTCCTCAGCCGTCCCAGGGCACGAGCGGTGTGGTCTGTGTCCCCGATCTGCCCTTGCCCCACGTAGCTAGCAGACAGAACCATCTTCTCCTGTCCCACTCTCCCCGTGCAGGACCCCTGTGGAGCAGGCAGCACAGGCTCCAGAGCCATGGAGCTGCAGCACAAGTCACTCCCGCCAGAAACGAGACAGGGCCAGACCCTCTTTCTGTGCACGTTCTTAGACACACTGGGGAGCCCAAATTTGAACCCGAGTCCACATGTTTAACCCCCAGCTTCTCATAGCCACTGTTATACCAGTCACGCCCAAGTCACTTCAGTCCTGCCCACCTGCCTCTCACGGTACTGAGTACGGGAAGCAACGGCAGACACGGGGAGGGCCTGAGGACCGGCACTGGCATGAGGGACGCTGTGTGTGCTCAGTGTGCCCTGCTGTGTCTCGGCCCAGGTGGTGGAGATCGCCAGCCTGACAGAGCACCTGCTGACAGAGTGTGACAGCCGGGACGCCTTCGGGAAGTGCTACCGCTGCAGCGAGGCCATGCTGAAGGAGGAGCTGCCCCGACACATAAAAGCAAAGGCCTGCGCCCGTGAGTGCGGCCCCACCCCAGCAGGGGGCACCTGGCCAGGAATGCGCCTGTGCCCTTCCCTCATGCTCACATGCATTTGGTAATCAGGACCTTTTCACCATCGTTCCAGCTGCCAAATCTGAGAAGCTGGCGAACCGGTGTCCTCTGTGCCACGAGAATTTCGCTCCTGGAGAAGAGGTGAGGGGCCTGACCTGGGGGGGGCGCCTGGGAGGGGCCCATGTCCTCGAGATGTTGGAGAGCGGGCCTGGGCCACAGCACACGGGAGCAGGTCTGCAGGGTGAGGCTATTCCAGAGCAGCATAGGGCTGCTGCTGATGCCTGCTGGAGCGTGCAGCTCAGCTTGGCTGCCAGGCTATGGAACTCAGGTGCTCGCCACCATAGCCCCGAGGGGTCTGTGCAGGGCACCAACCAGTCCGATAGCCGCCCTCCCAGAGCTTGGGTGTTCCAGGCTGCTATGGCTGCCATGCTGTCCCGCAGCCTCCTCTTCCTACAGGCATGGAAGGCACACCTGATGGGCCCCGCCGGCTGTACCATGAACCTGCGCAAGACACAGCCCAAGGCCCCAGCACCACAGCAGGGTGAGCTCCCGGCCGTGCCCCCAGGGTTCCTGTGCCCCACTGACTGGCCCTTGGTGCCTTCTGCAGGGCGGAGTTAAACAGAGCCTAGATAAAGCACTGTCCAATGGATGAATGGCCAGTTTGGCTACTTCCTCTCAGATTTACAGTGCCCTGGAAGAAGACAGAGAAAGTGGTTCCAGGTCACAGTGGGGGTGGCATCTATGAGGCAGAATGGTGACCAGTAGGGCTCGGTCCACATGGGCCCGTGTCATGCGGCCAACGTCATCTTTGTCCTGACTCTTAGAAACTCCATGACAGCTGCCCTCAGCCACGAGTGGAGCCTGTCCTCACCGCCTGCCTGAGGCAGGTCTCCCTTTTGCTGCCACATGGCTCCTCACATCGGTCACAGGCAGCCTGTGACTGCTGCCACCAGCTGGGTGATGGCCACTCCCTGTGGCCTGGCCTGGAGCTCTGCTGCCCACTCTGAGCTCTGAGGTTCCTGTGGTCACCTGGACCACAAGCCCCACTCTGATGCAGTCCCTGACTTGTATCTCTGTCCCCATCACAGGTAAAGGTCCCACCACAGCCAAGATGGGAACCTCAGGTACGAAGGTGGGGAGCAAAATCCCCACCCCAAAGGGCGGCCTGAACAAGATTTCCAGCAGGACGTATAGCAAGCAGTGACATGGCAACTCTGTCACTCTGTGTCCGTCGGGCCATGTCCTTGCTCTAAAGCCTTTCTCCAGAAAACAACACAGCAGCCCCCGGTCTGCTCTCACTGAACCTTGTGCCTGGCTCTGACCAAAGAACTCCGGGAGCTGAACCCCGAACTGCATGGGCCTTCGGGTCCCAGAAGCACAGGAGCAGGACAGCCGAGCAAAGGAGTCAAGGGGAACAGGGATGGGAGAGGCAGCGGCTGCCGAGAGAACTCGCACCCTGCTGCAGCCCCTCTTCCTGCACCGTCCCCAGACCTGTGCTTAGGGCCCAATTCTCTCACTGTCTGAGCCTGGAAAAAGTGCTATGGGGAGAACCTGGCTGGCCTCACATCCCCACCTGCAGGCCTCTGTTTTGGTCCTGGCACAGACACTTCTAGCAAGCCCAGGCCAGCTCAGGTCTATCACACTGTCCTCTTTCCCCCAAGCTGTAAGTGAGCCAAAGCTTCTCCCCATGGACGGCAGGTCCCGGGCTTCCTCCAATGGCCAGGGAAAGAGCTTCCCATCCACTTGGGGGCGTCTGTCCTGTCCCATCTCCACATGGCCAGGCGCTGCTGCATCTGAGGTTGAGGCTTTCAGGATGCACTCAGAACCTTAGGACTGAGGGAACTACCGCTCTTGATTAGTGTTCGGATGCTTTTATCCTCAACCATGTGAAACAATGAAATAAGTATCACACTAAAAGGTACTTGAGGCAGGATGGCTGTGAGTTCGAGGCCAGCCTGGGCTACAGAGCAGACCCTGCCTCAAAGGAAACTAACAGGTACATGAACAGCGAGCTCCCCAGATCTGCTGGTAACTGAGGATTTGGATTAATTAACCTCTGTTTTGGGTGGCTGTGTAAGAAGGAGGCCTACCAAGATGATAAATCTACTAGCAGTCTCTGAATAGTAACACAGATAACAAAACTTCATTAGATAGCGCTAAGCCAGGTGCCTGGGTGTCTGCAGGTGGTCCCGTCTGTCCCAGAGATGTTGGCCATTGTCTTCTAATGCACCTTTTAAGAACAGAAAGCACTTCTTTAAATAAAACAGTAATGAGAAAAGTTAACCAAGGAATTATCCTTTCCTCTGCAATCCAAACTAAGTGGATGAATGTGGTGTCTCCTATCTGTTTTAACTTGATATTTGTAAAAAAATTTCATGGGGCTGGAGATTTAGCTTAGTGGTTCTGCCGCCTGCTTCACAACCACAAGGTCCTGAGTTTGATCCCCCTACCAAAAAATAAAAATTAAAAACTAAAAGCATGATTAGCCAGGTGTGGTGCATGCCTATATCCCCAGCACTTGGGAAGCTGAGCAGGAGGTTCACTGTGAGTTCAAGGCCAGCCTGGGCTACATAGCAAGACCCTGTCTCAAAAAGTAAAAATTCGTTTTCCATGATTAACAAATAAGATTGGTCACCACCTTATTCTTGTGCTGGTTACCAGAGAATTGAGTTTCTGTGGTGGTGATCTGGCTGTGATCAGTAGCTTCTGAAAGCGTAATGCACTTAGGCACCCCTAAGACCAGGAGTAAAGCATGAAGATGGAGGCAGGGGTACCCAATCCCTCAGCCCTTCAAAATTAAATACCAAAACTTGGAACGCAAATAAATACCTGAATTTGCATTTATGATTATGTTGTGGGTATTTAATAATTTTATTTATATTATTTTCATATCTTAAGATATTAAACCTATAAGAATTATATCAATAAATTTGCATTGAACACTATTGTAAATACCTTTAATGACAATGTGTAACTTTTAAATGCTTTAACATAGTTTTCTATTTGCCTTTATTTCAGGTACCAGATTATAAAATAATATATTTTTATTGTTACCATTTTAGGGCATAAGGGTTCATTCACCTTGAGTACATTAATATAATAAAAACACTAAATGTTTTTTCATTTCTTTCACAATTGTGATTAAAAAGCAATTTGTAAGTCACTTGGATGTTGTACTTGCAGATGTGTCTGTGTGTTGAGGAGGTAGGTTGGCAGCTTCCAAGGAGAGCATGGAGCTGCTCTGAATGCTGGGCTGGGTTTACCCCCAAAGAGGCCGCGTGATTTTAAAGCATACATGGGTGACTACGATTTGGATTAGTTAACCTCTGTTTTGGGTGGCTGTGTAAGACAGCGGGCACCCCCAGCTTCCACCTGCATGGCTAATGCAGAATGTTCCAGAATGTCTGGCTATGCCCAGGGACCTGACCGCCCACACAGTTGCCCGGCCTCTCCTTGCAGCGGGGAGGCTCCAATGCTGGCCTCTAGGGTATTGCAGAGCAGCCGCTCAGTTTGTGTAGAAGCCATGACCTGGCCAGCGTGGCTCCAGGTGCCCGCAGCCTCCTTGCTGCTTGGGAGCCAGCTCTCACGCATTGCCATCACAGCCGCCAGCCACCTTCAGGGTCCTGGGCTCACTGTGACAGGCGGCGTGGATGGGCAGAGGGTGGCACCAGGTCAGGCTCAGTATAGGAAGCAGCTGAGCTGGGGCTGGGAACAAACTCAGCAGAGAAGCCAACTGCTCCACAGTGAGGCTGGCGTCCGTCCAGCCAGGGACAGAGCCTGGACAGCCTGGATGTGGACCTAGACAATGAACAGAGGCGCTTTGGGGCTCATCCCACCCCTCCTAGTTCAATATCTACAGGGTACCTTCACTAGCCCCTCCCATCCCAGGACCCCCTTGGCTGGGCCAGGAGCCCTCAGGCCGAGCACTTTGGAATATAGACAGTGGCTCACTGCAGGCAGGCAGCCCCCACCGCCACCAGGACAAGCCCCAGGACTCCCAGGACCACCAGGAGGAGCAGACTGGAGGAGGCCAGCACCATCCAGAGCTGTGGGGCAGGGGAATGGAGGCCCTGAAGGAAAGGACAGCTGTGCTCAGGATGCCCAGGTGACCCTTGGCAGGTGCAGTCCCAGTAGGGACCATCTGGGTTCCATCCCAAAACCACCAGAAAAATAAAAAATGAGTGCAGCCAGGTGTGGTGGTGCACTTGGGAGGCTGAGGCAGGAGGATCACTGAGTTCAAGGCCAGCCTGGGCTACATTGTGAGACTCTGTCTCAAACAAAAAATGAATGTATAGCGTATGTTCATGCCTCTCTGCCTCCAGGAACACCTTCCCTGAGTGTCCACCAGCCGCCTGCAGACCATGCCTGCCATGAGAGTGGGCTGTGGTGCCCCCCCCC